ATGATCGTAAAGTTCACTTTATTCAATAACAATTTTTACTGAATAAACATCAATAATAACTTTATTGAAAATAGAATATATCTTTGTTTACAAACTATGAGTTTTAGGACATAAAACCCAACACATACTACGGTTTCTCTTGGCAACAATTCAACTATCCAAGTGATGGGGGAAAGGAACCGTAGATATCAAGACTAGAAATGGCTTTGTAGAGTCTATTTCTAATGTATTTTACATTTTTGATCGGAAGGCCAACTTACTTCGTATCGGTCAGTTACAAGAAAAGGGGTATGTGATCACATTCTAAAATGATAAATGTGAGATTTATGACTCCAAAAGAGGATCGATTGCTAAGATGAAGATGACCACCAACCGTCTATATCCGTTGACGTTAAATATCATTGCCAAAAGTTTGATGGTGAAGAACGAAGATACCACCTAGCTTTGGCATTTTAGGTATGGTCATCTACACTTCAAAGGATTCAAGACGTTGTCTTCAAAGAAGATGGTAACTGGGTTGCCAGATATTACTCCTCCAATAGAAATTTGCGAGAGCTGTGTAGTAGCAAAACATGAAAGAAATTCTTTTCCATCCGGAAAATCAAGAAGAGCTCAAGCAATTTTGGAGTTGATTCATTCAGACATATGTGGTCCCATCTCTCCAACATCAAATGGTGACAAGAAATATTTCATGACCCTCATCGATGATTTTAGTCGAAAAATATGGATTTATTTCTTGCACGCCAAATCAGAAGCCTTTGATTGTTTCAAAAAATTTTGTGCTCCTATGAAGACGGAAACTGGAAGAAGAGTCAAAGCTTTAAGAACTGACAGAGGTGGAGAGTTCTGCTCGAACGAGTTTATTAAATTTTGTGAAGAGAAGGGCATAAGGAGGCAGTTAACAACAACATATACACCACAACAAAATGGTGTGACCGAAAGAAAAAACAGGATCATTCTCAACATGGTTCGAAGTTTACTAAATAAGGAAGAAGTCCCAAAGGAATTTTGGCCAAAAGCTGTCGTGTGGTCTGTTCACATTCTCAATCGGAGCCTTACTTTTTCTGTTAGAGATATGACTCCACAAGAAGCATTGAGCGGAAGAAAACCTGCAGCAGACCACTTTAGAATCTTTGGGTGCATAGCATATGCACACATTCCTGATAAGAAAATGAAGAAACTTGAGGACAAGAGTTTAAAGTGTGTGTTCCTTGGAGTAAGCGAGACTTCTAAGACGTACAAGCTCTATGATCCTTTGACAAAGAAGGTGGTGGTAAGTTGTGATGTAATCTTTGACGAAAAGAAGACTTGGACATGGGAAGAAAAAATCACTGTGAATCAGCATATTCCTGTAGATCTTGAAGAAGAACAAACTGAAGCCCCCATTCAGCCTCACTATGAGCATGGAGAGAGTTCATCACAAGCTCAACAAGAAGAACCAGTAGAAGAAGATCATGATCATAATCAAAGAAATCCAAGAACAAGAAAGAGACCAAATTGGATGGTTGATTATGAGATGGACTATGAATCAAGTGATAGTACTTATTTTGCATTCTTTATGGATAGTGATCCAATTGTCTATGAAGAAGCGGTAAAGGAGAAGAAATGGAAGGAAGCTATGGACAGTGAAATCAAATCCATAGAGAAGAACAAGACTTAGGATCTCACTGATCTTCCTAGAGGGCAGAAAACAATCAGAGTAAAATGAATTTTCAAAACCAAGTTGAATGAAAACGGTGAGGTGGATAAGTACAAGGCGTGACTCGTTGCAAAAGGATACAAGCAGTAGTATGGAGTTGATTATAAGGAGGTATTTGCACCAGTGGCACGTCAAGACACTATCAGGCTTATAATTTCTATTGCTGCACAGAAATCTTGCCCTATTTATCAACTTGATGTGAAATCGACCTTCCTACATGGAGAGCTTCAAGAAGAGGTATATGTGGAGAAACCAGAAGGTTTTGTTCAAAAAGGTAAAGAGGAAAAAGTATATAAGTTGAAGAAAGCTTTGTACGGTTTGAAGCATCCGAAGGCATGGTACAGTCGCATTGATTCTCATTTTGAAAAGATGGGATTCACTAAATGCCCGTATGAACATACGTTGTATGTGAAAACTAAAAAGAGAGGTAACATTCTCATTATTTGCTTATATGTTGATGATTTAATATTTACTGGCAATAACGAAGAAATGTTTGAATTTTTTAAGAAGAGCATGATGAAGGAATTTGAAATGACAGATTTTGGTTTGATGAGATATTTTCTTGGAGTAGAAGTTACTCAAACTCCCGCATGTAACTTTATCTGTCAGAAGAAATATGCTCAAGAATTACTTGAAAGATTTAAATTGGATGAGTGCACATTTGGAACTCTATCAGAATTGGGTTTGAAGTTGCACAAGGATATTGAAGGGTGAGAGGTTGATAATAGGTACTTCAAACAAATTGTGGGAAGTTTGATGTACTTAACTTCAACAAGACCAAACATCATGTACGCGGTTAGTATGATAAGTCGTTACATGGAGTATCCAACGAAAAAACATCTCAATGCAGCAAGAAGGATACTTCGTTATGTGAGAGGAACTTTTGATTTGGGGGTATTCGACAAGAAAGGAGATGATCCAAAGATGGTTGGCTATACAGATAGCGACTATGCAGGTGATATAGATGATCGTAAAAGTACTTCAGGAAGTATTTTCATGATGAGTTCATGAGCTATTTGCTGGTCTTCAAAGAAGCAATCTATTGTAACACTCTCAACTATAGAAGCAGAACTTGTGGCAGCAGCAGGATGCTTGTGCCAAGCAATTTGGTTAAGAAAAATGCTTGAAATTCTTAATTAGAAGCAATCAGGTACAACGGTTATATATTGTGATAATATGTCAACTATTAAGTTGTCTAAAAATCCTGTGTTGCATGGAAGGAGTAAGCACATTGATGTTCGGTTTCATTTCTTGCATGATTTGTATAAATAAGGCATTATTGAACTCAATTTTTGCCGAAGTGATGAACAAATCGCAGACCTATTCACAAAACCCTTGAAACAATCATTGTTCGAGAAGCTTAGAAGAAAGATGGGGATGTGCAGAATCCAAGATGTATATTAAGAAGATGGAGTGAAGTCTTAAACTGATTTCTGCAAAATTTAGTTTAAGGGAAGGTGTTGAAGGGACACTAGTAGATACATTTCTAAAGATAGAAAAAGTAGTAATTTGTTTAACAAATTTAGTTACTCCGGAGAAGGAGGAAGTGAAAGCAATTTCATCTACAAAAATCCCAACCAATTCCGGGAAGCAATGAAATCCCGTCCTATAAATTGACCTCCCTTTCCAATCATTCAAATCACTCCTCCTCCCAATTTCACTTCAATTTTTGTTGTCACCAACATGATTATGGAGTTATTATCAGCCTTAACCACAAACTTGGACCTATTTCTCTTTCGTGGAGGTGACATATCTCCTCTCTACGTCATTGAAGTTTTGCTCGCATACACGAGGGGATGACCATCTATAAGAAGAACGTTTCTCGAAGGCATAATAAAATGCATCAATCTTTACTCCAAATGGTCAAGTCACGTCGGCAATTTTGAGCACCAAGCCCTCCATCTTTGCCCTCTTCAACTCGTCATAGGCATTTTGATACTAATCTAACTCATGCTATTATTTTTCTGTAACATGTACGTCAATGGTTCTGTCCTTTTTTAGAATCCTTCGATGAGTGCATGGTGTTTTAAATGCTTTTCGCTATACTAGGAAAGAGGACTGGAGGGTGTAATTTGTGCTCTGGGTGATGGATGGATGTCTCCCTATTGAGCTTGCATGAATGTTTAAATTATGGATTATGCGCTTAGATGATTGATAGAGTTATCTCCCAAATAAAACAGGTGAGCGAACTAGGTTAAGGTTATGATGTTAGAGCATGAGTTGTATCATGTTGACCTTTGTCGGTATATTTTTAGTAGACCGAGTACACTAGGATTATGAGCGACAATCAACAATCAAGATTGTAAAACCCGTAGCTTGCAAGACTGTAATCACCATCTATATTCCTTGTGTACCTTAGTAGCACTATCCAATGACCTAGGTTGCACTCAATAGTGCCTCTGCCAAGCAGTAGGTATCTCGAAATTTTTACCATTAAGCTTCACTAAAGTCAAAGAGGATGGTGAATCGTGGTTACTTGAGTTGTTATTATTATGTGTAGAAAATGGGTTGAGAACGATTCCATAAACTTGTCCTCGGAGGGGACAAGGGACTATATAAGTAGTTTAACTTATAATGAGTCACTATTGTGTCTGAAACTGAGTAGCTGACTAGCATGTGAGATCGCTCCCCCCAAATATTAACATTACATATAAGTGTTCAGTTAGAGATACCATATTGCCCTATGAAATAGGATGAGGTTGTGCCTCAACCTAGGATACCGGTTGTTCACTGTTGTGGCAGTGCAAGCTTACAAAGTATGAGTAGAAAAGTTAGTTCACTCTGGAGATGAGATATGTTGTCTAGTAAACATCTACCTCTAGAACCCGGTGAACAACTTTCAACACTGATTGTGTCAGTGATAAGTAAGAAAACCGCCTTGGAACTCTAAGGTCTTCTCACAAGCTCAGATAACTATAAAACTCAGGCTCAAACTTTTTAGAGCCTAAAGAAAATCTTTTGGTAACCTACAGGGAGTAGGATGTGACGAGAGCCTACAAGTAGGCTACTTACTAATTATTTTTATACTTTGAGTCATGGTGGAAGAGCATTCGAGAGCTGCATGTTCACTAAGGGTCGTTCTAGGGTGTCAATCATGTTTTTGTATTTTGGACCTTTTACGTGTTTGTGTATTTTGTCGAGTGGCTTATCCCAAGTATCAATCTCATGATAAATTCTCCTACGTGGAGTATGTTATTCCGTAAGCTTTCAGGCATAATCTCGTCATATTCCTCTGGGACATTTTTAATCTTTCAAAGGAACTATTTCTTTGTTATCTTTATCTTCTAGAATGAAGACGACCATAAATGTTGGTTTTTCATAATCAAGACCTTTTTACTTGGAGGGTCGATAACATCCGTATTCTATTTAGTTGCTTGATGTTTGCCAAAATAACCGAAGGAATTTCATCCTCAGTACCACATCAAAATTGTTCATCTTAACAATTACAAAACCAATGTGTCCACTCAAGTCCCTTAATTTTGATACGTTTCTCTATGTTATTCCTATAATGAGTACGGTTGTCAAGTTGCAGACTTTCATCTTTTTTGTGTCACTGTCTAAGTAGGTCCAGTTGTTTCACTGTGGTTTTGTTACGAAGTTGTGGATGACTTCAGAGTCGACCATAGTGAACTTTCAGAGAGATGGATTGATTATTTTTGTTACCTTCACTTGAGAAAGCTTGATTTTACCTCATATATTAAGAATGATCGTTAAGGAACTCAAACAAACGTCCTGCAGTTGCATAGGTAATAGAAATATCTAAACTAATTGCTCCTACAGTTTTGAGTTAGCCTACAATTACGAGACTTAAAAAACCTGATTAACTCAACCCAACCGAATTCATACCATTTGAGTTGAGTTTATCAGATTGGATTAAAAAACTTACGATATAATTATTGTTAAGTATATATAATTATTTTATTTTATAATTATTTTTTGATTATTTATTTTTCAATAATTAAAATAATTTTTAACTCTTTTCCGGTAACCTAAAATTAGATTGATTAAATCAAACGAACTCAAATTTATTGATATTATATTATATATTATTTTATAATTATTTATTTTCTAATAACTCTTTAAAATAATTTAAAACTATTTATAAGATAATTTTTTAAAATATATATGGAAGCTGATTTATAAATTTTATTAAATATTTGAAAATAAATAAATAGAGAATTACGTATCGACATTTTATTTTATTAAAAATAATACTTTGAATAAATGATCCAAACAACTCGAACCATTCCATCCCAAAAATTTTATGTTTGAGTACGGTCAAGTTTATTATTTAATAAGATTTGGGTAGATTGAGTTCGGATTATATCTAAAAGATATCTCAACCCGACCCAACCTGATTGACAGACATCTCTACCCAACCCTTCAAAAAAAAAAAAAAAAAAAAAAATCTTTAAATCTTAAAAATTGAAGTAAGTTTTTGTGAGAGGCCCAGAGTAAAACCAAGGCCCGTCGTATAGTCGTACACAGAAGAAGCCTTCTTCGGCAACAAGAAATCCCAGCTTTATAGAACCAGGGCTTGTCTCCGGCATTCTCCAAGAACTCCCATTTCAGAACCTCTTCTCGATTCCCCACTTCCTCTTTCCAAGACGACATGGGAGATAGCCAGTACTCCTTTTCTCTCACCACTTTCAGGTCTCTCACTCAACTCCCCATTTCTTCCTCTCTTTCTCGATTCCGCCTTCCTCTAATGCTGTGTTTTTGTCCTGTTTCTCAGTCCTTCGGGAAAGCTTGTGCAGATCGAGCACGCCTTGACAGCGGTTGGATCTGGTCAGACATCACTCGGTATCAAAGGTATCTTCACGCCGAATGATGTTTTGTTTTATTGATAATTGCCGCGCCATCGGACCTCAGTTCTCGACGCGGAATGATGTATAGTTTAATTCATCTCAACTTTGCATTTGCGTTTCTTTATCTTGTTTATCTGAATTTATCACATCATTGTTTTCCTATTGCATTCATAGTAACAGGACGATTCGAACTCTTCAGGTTTTGATTAAAAAAAGTTTTTCCTTCTCCATGTATAGTTTAATTGATCTCAACTTTGCGTTTGAGTTTCTTTATCTTGTTTACTGAATTTATCATAACATTGTTTTCCTATTGCATTCATAGTAACAGGACGATTCGAACTTTTCAGGCTTTGATTAAAAAAAGTTTTTCCTTCTCCATTTATGATCTTAGCACTAAGGTCTTAGGTTAATTGTAGAATCATTTGTCTTGGTATTTTTGGTATCGCTTGTTAATGTTTTTTATCACATCTTTGCGCCTTAGCTGCTCATGCTTAATTACACTCGGAGAGTTGCTTTTTTGGTTGGTGACTATAACTTTGGATGTTCGTGGTAAGGGTTTCGATTAATGCATTTTCTTCCTTGCAGCTGCCAATGGTGTTGTCATCGCAACTGAAAAGAAACTGCCTTCTATCTTGGTTGATGAAACGTCTGTACGTAACTCAATTGAATAATTATAACTTCTGACTTCTTTGAACCCTTTCTCATAGTTAGTATTATAATTGTTGACTCTTTATTTGTCTCAGGTTCAAAAGATCCAGTCTCTGACACCAAATATTGGAGTTGTTTACAGGTTTGATTTTCTCCACCTCATGGCAGAAGGGGACATTACTTCTGCCATGTTTCTCTCTCACTGCTAAATTTCTTTTGGAGTGGCCTCATGCTTTTGCTATTATGCGTTATGAATGTGTTTCCACATCCCACTTCAAACTTTTCAATTCCTCGAGGAACTCCTCTATTCCATTTCAATATCTTTGTGATTTACTCTGCTTTTTTTGATAACTTGTAAGTTTTCTAAACATTGTGTCTGAGTCCGTAAGTAAACTTCCTTATTGGCTAACATTTTGGAACAAGACTATAGAGTAGCCTTTGGGGAGATCTTCTTTCATTTAATCGAAGGAGCTAATTTACCTTGTGTCAATAAGAATTAGGATTTTACTTTTTTATTTGGTGCTGTTAATAAATCATGTATTCTTTGAGCTGTCTTGTTTTGCTTTCAAATATGCATTTCTATGGTCTTTAATATTAGAAGTTGGATAGGGCATGCATGTGAGTCATTCTATTGTAGCATTCATTCTTCCCCATGTAAAGCTTACCTTCAAATTCTATTATGATATTTTTTCCTACAGTGGCATGGGTCCCGATTTTAGAGTTCTGGTCAGAAAAAGTAGGAAGCAGGCAGAGCAATACCATAGACTGTACAAGGTACAATGAGGTTTCAACTCTTATGTCTATTTTCTTTATAACTACAACTCTCTTTAGTTTGTATAATCAGTTTACTGTAAGACAATTTGGTTCACTAGGTACCATGAGGCTTTCAATCTTATGTAATTTTCATTGTAACTGAAGTACTCTTTAGTTTGTGCAATCAGTTCAGTTTACTCCTTGGTACACTTTTTGCGCATTCAGCTTGAATATGGAAGAAGCTGTTGACTGATTGTCGAATTACGTACTTCTTATTTGTGCCCTTTTTTGTCTGTCTTTCATACTAGAAATTCATTAACTTCTAAAAAGAATGTGAATAATCTTAGTTTCATGTTGGGTTTCTTCAATATAGCTGTGCTTTCCAAATTCTTTCAATCTTTTGAAATGTGAACTAATTTTCCTTTTTGAAAGTGTGCCTGTAATTTTCATTTATGATAGAGTATGTTCATGAAAAAAAAAAAAAAAAAATTATAATTGAGTATGTGATTCCAGTGCTGATTGTTTGGCATTGTACCTATGGTTTTATTCTCATGGTTGTAACCTGTGTAAAATGTTTCATAGGAACCAATTCCAGTCACTCAACTTGTGAGGGAAACAGCAGCTGTAATGCAGGAGTTCACCCAATCTGGGTAAACACAATTCTTGCCCTGAAAGTTGTTTAAACTCTAGAATTTTAAATGAAAGATTGATACTTGACACCAACTGGTGTAGCCTAACGTGCAGAAAACTATTTTTAAAGTCTCTGAATGGACATAATGTGGATGTTATATTTTTTTTTTTACTTCTATTCTCTTTTTCCAACCCCATATCCCTATTTTTGCATATTCATCTTTTGTTTCAATGAAAATGGTTGCAGTGCTATGTAGCCCTTTCCAGTATATTTATTTTCACATTGCAACTTGGGTGCTGTTTGCCTGAATATATGTGTTTATGTGTACGTGTTTTATAAGGCATGGATATATTTTTTTCCACTTTCATCTATGAATTCTTATTTTTGGTTTTTTTCTTGTCTGTAGAGGTGTAAGGCCCTTTGGAGTATCTCTTTTGGTTGCAGGGTTTGATGACAATGGTCCTCAATTATACCAGGTAGAGTATTTCTCATGTCTCGTTAAATTAGTGATACAATGAATGCTGGTTTAAGTGGCTTTTAGCGTTATAATTCACAGCATTTTACATTCGTATCCAACTTATAGCTTCATGTAAGTTGGAAATGAAAATTTCAGGAATCCACTTTTTGAATATTATATAAGGTTTTTGAGACACTTGAATCTGTTTATATGCTCAGTGAATGCCTAAGAGCAGTCTAACCTTGGGGCTGCTTTCCTCCCTTTTGTATATTTCATCGCACCCAATAAAATAAGGAAAAACAGGAATGCCAATGAACATTGTGTACACGTGTTTGATTAGAGTAGTCTAAGAAATTCTGAGTGTACATACTGTTTTTCCGATCTAGTGTCTGAGCTACAAGATGGCTCCATTATATATATAGAAATTATTAATTTTTGTTAACATCATTGAAAAGTTATTTCTTAATTCACTTTACTTTTTGTATGGAATACTTTTCTCTAGGTGGACCCATCCGGTTCATATTTCTCTTGGAAGGCCTCTGCAATGGGGAAGAATGTTTCTAACGCCAAAACCTTTCTAGAAAAAAGGTATCCATTCTAGTTGTCTGTTGCCTGAGTTCTTTAGTCGAAGTACGTAGTTTCTGCATCAAGATCTTCTGTTAAGTTTTTCCTATTAAATAGAACCCAAAGCTGGCTTTGTGAACTCAAATTTGAGGATTCGAAACCTATCGATAGAATCTGATTTAAATGCTGCCAAGTATCATACCACAGATATTTTTGCTGGTTGCTTTGCTTCCTGGGGCCATTCATCCATTTTTCTTGACAATTTTGGTGGTCTTACCTTTCAATGTAGGTATACTGATGATATGGAGCTTGATGATGCTGTGCACACTGCTATCTTAACCTTGAAAGAGGGGTATGTATATTTTAACTAATCTTCTTCAATGTATGGACTTGGCTTCTGAGTCTCTCGCTCTCTCTCTCTACCTTAAAGAATTAAATTGAGAATTAGTTTATGTGAAGGAGATGCTACGAAGCAGCAGCATGTTGGGATGGAGATAAAAATAATACAGGAACAGAAGAGTTTCTGACGTTCTTTTATTCTCCATTATCCACATAAATCTAAGCATTTAATGGGAGCTTATTCAACTTGGGGATCAATTTCCTTAGGCAGCTTGGAAGTTCCCAAGAAATTGGAACTAATCTTATTTTCAGATACTCTAGAATGAGCTATATTGATAAGAAACCATTTCATTGTTGTATAAAATCTAAGGGGGAAAAAAGGAAAAGAAATAGGGCCCCAATCCAAGGGATTTACAAAAATCTTGTCCTATCAAAAGACCAAAAGTGACCTAAAAGCTTCTTAGGTTAGGCCTTAGTTTACATAGAAGACCATGTATATTAACAATATGTCAACTTTAAAACCATTTTGTGTTCCACAGGGCCGCTTGGTGATTGGCGAAAAGCTGATTATTATTCATTTTCTCTCACAAGTTCTAATCGATCTAAAATTAAAATCCACATTTTGTAAATCATTTATAATGCACAGCCGCATACTGCAGTACAATCTGCGTCCCAATATTGTTGTTTCTAATATTATGTGCTAGTCATCGGTAATGTTTTGGGTACTTTTGTAGATTTGAAGGACAGATCTCAGGCAAAAACATTGAAATTGGAATAATTGGCACGGATAAGAAATTCAGGTTGGTCACTCCTATTCTGTTTTCTTGGATTCTTTTTTTTTTTTTTTTTTTTTTTTTTGATAAGAAACAATTTCGTTGATAGTATGATGTTTTGTCGGAAATAAAAAACCCTATCCTTTGGGTTGAGCTTCAAAACCTTATGCATAGTTGAATTGTATGGCATGCCGTAGGTGTCAATGTGCTTCATTGTGAGTGTATTGTTCGAATTTTGTGGAGTTTTGTATTGAAACTTAGAAAGTTGCGTTTGAATGCTAAACACTTGAAACTGGAAAATTTTGATCTTACGCATATTTGCAAGTTTTTTTGGTGGTTCAACAATGTTATGTATATACGTAGAGTTGTTTGTTAACGAAGCTTGTGTGGGCAGTATTAGCATAATGTTTAGAACACACAGGCACAAATGTTGTTAGATAGAGAAGTAAAATGCACATTTTGTATCTCTCTGTCGTGTGTTTCTTCTTTGTTATCAGTTCGATAATAGAAATTGAAAAACTCAAACTTGAAGCTACATACTTACTTTCCGTTTACGCGTATGATTGTTTTGCAGAGTACTAACCCCTGCTGAGATTGATGATTATTTGGCTGAAGTAGAGTAAGCAATATGATGCTTGTGTGCAAAGTGAAGTTATTTTAAAGACAAATGTGAGTGTTTAATTTTGAAGTGAAGTGGCTGCCTGTAAAACTTGATGATAATGCCTGGAACTGCCATTCCATTCCCAAAATTATGAACAAAAACTGTTGGCTCCTTCTATGAACATGTTAGGTTACCCAATTCCCACACCATTATATGTTGGTTAAGGAATTATGTATTATTGGATATTTTAGATGCCGTGGGTTTTAAGTCAATTGTTGGAATTTCTGCAGTGATTTGTGTTTCTCCCTACTTCCTTTGGTCTCCTTTTGCCCGCTTGGATATATATATATATGTTTTCGATTAAGGTTTTTTAACACATCAAATGTTACATCAATTTATGTAAATGATGTTATATATGCTTTTTAGTTTTTATACATAAGTTTGTTTGCGTATTTATGAAACAAATGTTAAAGTTCAAAGATAAAGGTGAAGCCTTTAGAAGTTTAGTCTCTCGTGCTCGGATTATTCTTCTCCCTTTTGTTTAAATTAAGGTGTTTTCTCAATTCTTTATCTCTAAGTTTATACAATTTTATTCAGAGTTCAATACTATGCTCTCGAATAATTGGTTTATTGTTGTTCATTTCAAGATCATCCTCTTTATTGTTAAGAATTTGTTTTTGATTTTGACTTAACTAGCTCTTATAATAATGGATGCAGCTGCTGCTTCCTTATTTACTTATTTATTTATTTTCCTTTTACATGATATTGGTTTATGATAAATATATTACAACTATTATTTTGCTAAGTAATCTTTGTTTCTTTATTTAAAATTAATTAATTATTAATTTAAAGAAGCCACTAACTTGAGTTAAATAGTGTCATTTTGTTGGTAATTTATAATGATTAGGAATCGTCATTTTACCTTCCATAAATTTTAAAATTATTTTTTATTATACGTTTATGATCACGTTTTCTTGAAGGTTGAAAATAAGTATTTGGTGTAACTTTATTTAATAGATTTTTTTTTTTTATGAATTTGCCAATTTTTAAAAAATGAGGATTAAATTTAAGATTTATCGAATATTTGCTAGTAAAGTATTACAAAGTAGATGGTTAAATGATATATTATTATTAGCATTACTATTCAGTTTAACATGGTAGTGTAACGACTCAAGATTTTTACTTAGCTAAGGTCGCTATAATCATCCTAACATAATCATAAAACATTGTTATGGACTTATGTGATCGAAAACATTTTTAAAATGACACAATGAAATACAAAATTAAATAAACAAGCGTTAAAAAATAAAAACACCCTATTCTAATCTAAGTCTAAAAAAATAGGTACAACTACTTTATACATGTGTCATGGTCTCAAATTGCAATGTGGTCATGAGCTGGGATGTCTTGCCTTTACCTAAAAAATAAGAGTAGCACGTGCCTTGAGTATTTTAAGAAATACTCACTAAGCCTCCTATTGGAGTTAAATGCAAGCACATACAAATCATGATTGAAATCTATCCTATCAATCTAATGAATCAGACCTATCCTATCAATCTATTTTCCTTAGGTGACTATCCTAAATGGGCTAATTGGATGTGTATTTACTATTCTACACACGGTCAGCACGTGGGAGTGTAGATCCACCGGTTGGTTCGCACATCTCTTGACCTCCTCTCATCATGTTTTATTTAAAAGGATGAAGATTTATCCTAATACAAGCTACATTATCCAATCTCCCCATTTACTACATGTCTCTATTTGAAATGCCACAAAAGGTAGTTTCAGATATAGAAAATTGTTGAGAAAGTACCTGGGGAAAGATTGCCTACACCTTGTTCGGTGGAATATTATAAACCTCCCAATAGAAAAGGGAGGCATTCGTCTTCTCTTGATAAAGAAGAACAAAACTCTCATCACCAAATGGACATGGAGATATCTTCACGAAAAAAAAAAGGCCTTGTGGAGAAATCTTATAAAGGCTAAATGTACTCTTACATCAAACAAAAATCAACCTCCTCCGTCTTCTTCAAAAGGGCCTTGGAAGTACATAAAAAAATATCAAAACCTCATCACATGTTGAACTTTTTATAGGGTGGGTGATGGAGGAAGCACATCATTTTTTTACCGACCCATGGATTGAAAACATCATGCTCGCTCTGCGGTATCCACTATTGTACAAGCTCTCTCATAGTAAAAAAAGCCACGATATAAGAAACATTAAATGTTGTCAACAAATTCTAGGACCTGAAACTTGGAAAAAATTTAAAGGATAACGAAGCAACATAATGGACAAAATTAAGCCTTGACCTTACTCCAGTAGTATTGTCAAATGAAGCAGACTCACTGGCTTGGCTCCCTAGCGTTGACGGGTCTTCTCTATAAAATCCTTGATGGTGGACATGGAGAAAAAAAGTAGAAGCAATAAATCTTATGCTAGCATAGACAGTATGAAAAGGACATCACCCTAAAAAAAGGTGAAGTTCTTCCTTCGGGAAATAGCGAAATCTTAGAAAAAAAAAAAAAAAAAAGTCTTACATCACTCTCTCCAAATTGGTGTCCATTATGCCAGAAAGAAAATAAATCATAAAGCCATTTATTTATGCAATGCGTGTACTTAGATTTTCTAGACAACGATTCTCAATATATTTAGATGACATCTCACATTTCCTAGGAGGTAAAGGATCTATTGGACATGACTTTAACGTACCACCCTTTCAAGAATACAAAAACCCTACTATGGAAGAACCTTATCATGTCTTTCTTTTTGAATTCGTGGAAAGAAAGAAATCAAAGAATATACGCAGAAAAGACACAGATTTATACAAAACTCTTCGGCAATGTTGTTTACCAAGCTATGTCTTGGTGCAAACTGACTAATATTTTTACTTTCTATAGTTGTACCTCCTTCGTTGTAAACTGGGAAGGTTTTTCTGTAAACGCTATGGATATTACATTTTTTTGTAAATTTCAATTATCAATGAAATTGTCTCTTATATTAAAAAAAAAAAAAAAACATAACCCTCGTGTAATAGATCGGAATTCTGATTCGATAAACGATCTTGCCACCATATTTTGCTTTTTACTTTATGTTACCAAATTACCTTCAAGAAAAGTACAATACCTCATGGTAGATCTTTTTACCTCTATTAATCTAACATAGTCAACATCGGTGTAAGCACCCAAGGCACGATAATTGTTTCATTTGAACCAAATTTGTTTTCTTAATGTTTTTTTTAGGTAACATACACTTTTCTATGTTGCCTGATGTGGATCATGCATGAGTTGTGGCTAATTACACTCCTTGAGAATCCTATGTGAGCTAGATATAAGCCCACCACTAGCCTCGGGTAAATTTCTTTGTTCATCGCAAGTTCTTTTGACTCTCCCAATTTTTGATGTGGATCTATTGGCATTGGTGTATATTTACGTTCGGTTTTCCAGTTCCATCATTAAATCCATTACAAATTTATGTTGTGATATGAAAATGTCTTGAGCTGAGTATGCTACTTTAACGTCGATGAAGTACTTTAGCCTTCCAAGTTTTCTGATATCAAATTCTTTCAGTTTTGCTTCTTCATTATCTCCTATGACTATAACGTTATCTACATACACTAAAAACATTCTAACTCACCCCTTGATTGTAAATGAAAAAGAGTGTAATCTCCTTGATTTCACCCCTTGATTGTAAATGAAAAAGAGAGTGTAATCTCCTTGATTTTACTTGTACCTATCGTCTTTCGTTAAATTTATGAATCTTTCAAACCACGCCTTCGTGATTATTTAGTCTATACACGGCCCTTCTCAATTTGCATACTTTATCTCTTGAACTTTCAAATCTTACTGTGTTCATCTTCATACAGAGACAAATATCTCCTAGTAATATATACCGTAAGTTTGAGTGTATCCCTTAGCTACTAACCGTGCATCATACCTTTCTAACGTTCCATCATCCTTGTACTTTCTTGTGAATAGCCACCTACCCCCAATTATATTTTAGAGCATCCCAGTACATCTCATCACGTCACTATCGCATGCATCCCCTACACCACACCAGCCTCAAAGGCAATGCTATTGCTCAGTATAAAGTAGTGATTTGAGTTACTTTTTAAGGACGAATAATGCATAATCAGAGTTCTATCTATGATCATGATAGCGGAAGTTTAAGAAGCATTGAAACTAAACACGAGAATGCTCGTCTTTTGGGCGGCAAAGTGAAATTTGTTGAATGCTCATCTTCCAAGTAGATAAATAAGTTATATCTTTTAACTAGTTGAGCTATACTCAAAATATAACCTGAAAGCTTGAATATAGTTATGAAACAAAACTCAACATCAGTGACATCATTACTCTCGGTTTCAAGACAGCAACGCTTACATTATTCTCGAGTTAGGACAAATAATGATTTATTTACACGTAAACTTCGACATTAAATACTTGCAATGTGATGTACACATGCTTGTTTCAGGTATTCAGTAAAAGCTTTGGTAGGCATTTAAAGTAATAAATAGTTTAAATGGCATTTGCAACTTTTACTACCAACGGGCAACCTACTGAAACTTCAACGTAGGTGGTGCCTGCAAGATGATAAAAGACAAAGAAAGAAAAGCATTGCAATATGAGATTAAGTAACACTGAGGGAAATCAATCACTAGAAATAGATATCATGTATGAGATTGAGTGAAACAAACCTCAGAGTTTCTTTGGTTCCACGGCGAACTTTGCAGCGTATTGTAGGAAGTCTGAGGCATTGATGAGCCTCGTAACGATGACAACCAGAGAAACCTAGAAATCCATGGGAAGAAAATCTAGTTATCCAAAATGATAAACTGGACGAGCGTTGTGATATTAATATACCAATGTAGGCAATATTTACTTTCAATTGGAATCCGAATGAAAATCTTCTTTTTATGTTAAGAACCACGGGCCTCTACAATAATATGATATTTTCTACTTTCACCATAAGCTCTTATGACTTTGCTTTTGGTTTTTCCGGAAGACCTCAAACCAATGGAGAAGTATTTCTTACTTATAAATCTATGATCATCTTTCTTAATTAACGTGGGACTACTTCCAACAATCGCCCCCTCGAACAAACTACACCATAGAGCCTTCCCAGAAACCTATGGAGCCCTTGAATAGCCCTCCACAATGATATGATATTGTCCACTTTGAGCATAAGCTCTCGTGCCCTTACTTTTAGTTTCTCCAAAAGACTTCAAACCAATGGAGATGTATTTCTTACTTATAGACCTATGATCATCTTCCTTAATTAACCATAGTGGGACTCAATCCAACAATCCCTGACAATCTTCCATTCGAACAAACTACACCATAGAGCTTCTCTAGAAACCTATAGAGCCCTCGAATAACCTTCCACAATGATATAATATTGTCCACTTTCAGTATAAGTTCTCGTGGCTTTACTTTTAGTTTCTCCAAAAGACCTCATATCAATAGAGTTGTATTCCTTACTTATAAACACATGATTATCCCCTAAATTAACCAATATGGGACTCCTCCTAACAATGCTTGAACACTCAAAATGCTTTGAAAATAATCTTCGGTTGCTCAAACAGACATCAGTAAAGTAATGGCATATTTGGAAACAAAATCAGAATTGAATCTCCAATTACTACTGCACCAAAGCAAGCATGATCAAAAACAACAAAAAAAAAAAGAAGACAGAGTTACATCTCTTATTGGGGAATGAAACAATATCAGAAATGATATAAATATTAAGGATAAGCATACCGTAATAAACTCCATCAACTTCAAGTACATCAATCTGCATCCACAACAAGAGAGAATGAGTAACATGCTTATGCCATTCTGTAAAACCTTTAGGGCAAGTGCTGCCTACTGCAAGAAAACATCACCTACTTTCATCCCATAAATGTTTATTTGATATGACTACTAGTATCTTGATGACTAAAACAGGTATATTATCATATCATTCACAGGATCCTCCCGGGCATCCGATGCATTTAACATGGTGATATGAACCAAGACATCAATCCTACAATATAGACTTCAAGGAAGATGTGAAGAAAATGTTGTCAAAATTATCAAAAAAATGTGCCACATTGAAAAAGAATTAAGTTTCATTGTTATAAATTTTGGGTGGATCATAATTTTGAGTTATGGAGTTTATTTAACGTATTTTAAGACTTATTTAGATAGTAATTAATTATAGGCATAAAATATACCTAGTGGCTAATTATGGTCATGAAATATAGTTACCACTCTTGGAATGCCTTGGGAAGGTTAAGAGTTTTTATTTTGAGACTATATAAAGTCATGTATCTTATCCTCGTAAAACAGACTTGAAAAATATACTAAAAGAGCATTTGTGCTTTCCTTTAGCCAATGACTAAGTTTCTTTGTTCTTGCCTTGAAATATTCGATTAACAAGGTAACCTGAATCTTACACCTCTTATAGTGATTCCATATCACATGCGGCAAGGATCAAATTCTTGGGCAGCACAATCCTATTCACTCATCCAATAATTAAAATATCTATCAATATGTCGATGCGTTCGTAAATCAGAGGGTTAAACATTGAGATTAAGGATTAATCAACATCAATCTTTTATATAAATACTCATCCAACATAAAAGATATCATCAGTTAGTCAATCAATACGACTATAAAAACTAAAAATAAGATCTGTAACTCTTAAAATCATTCATCAACCAGTTCCTGACCCCACAATGGAAGTCTTAATGAATCTGAAACATGACATATCTTTCAATGACTTAAAAGTTGAAGAGTTTTGAACATAAACTCATCAAATGGTACATAATAACGTTTATTATCATTCTTCCAGTCAGATCACTCCAATAATTCCAACGCATTAACAGAATTCCAAGAACTTCAGCTATATTAATATCAATTGCTCGGCCTCAAATTCAGAACAGTAGAACACAGCAAGAGAAATCATGAACACCGAATAAAATAATCATTTCAAGCCATGAATCTTCTAGGGCACAGATTAGGAAGGTGTAAAATAAATACGAATTGAGGAGGAGAGAAATCTCACGGGTACTTGTAGCCCGATTTCTTGTATACTGTCCATTAGGTCTTTGACTTTATCGGGATCGTTAGCTCTGGTCCTCATTAATGGCCTCCGTATCTTCTCCAGAGGAAGCTCCAGGATCACTGGTCCACTGCCTGCCGATAACGGATGAGCGCCTATGATTGCATCGTAGAAATACCCAATTCATCGACTGTTTCGAGCGAGTAAGAGAGAAATTAATCGACGAAAACGAGGAAGAGAGAGTAACCATTGGATGAAGGTAAAGCAGAGACACGCCTCAAGCTGGAACTGCACGTTGGGAAATTGAGAACGAAAAGATTAGCCATCGTCGGCACTCCTTTGTCTCTGTAAATGGATATTGACAGATCCAATCTATAGGGGTACAGTAAATGAGCCCATTTCAGCACTCCATTTTCATCCCTATCATGCCAGTCTATTTTTCTACTAGGCTACCCTAACGGACAACTTAGATGTCTACTTAATTTCTCTACACACCGTCTACACGTGCGAGTATAAACCTGCTAGTCGATTCGCACACCTCTTGGGCCATTTTCTTTTCGGGCGAGCATTCTTTGGTAGTTGTTGATGTCGGACACCCGTTAGGAGTAGCAATCGTCACAGCAGCATTATGACAAACATAATGAACATTCCTCTGTCTAGTAGCGTACGTGTCTGAACTATCGTGAAGGAATAGGAGTATTCCCCATGCATGAGCACACAATAATGTATGAGATTCCAACATTTTTCCATTTTCGTTATCGTTTAATACAACCTCGCTAGCGTCTTCATCATATCATACCATTTTCATATTATTTCTCATAACGTTTATCATATCGTTTATCAATTCTTTCATGTGTATGTCGGGGTTGTATTTCATGTTAGTTTGTTGTTTTACATGTGAATCATAGCATATCATCCATGTCACATATCAGTCATACCATATCATTTTCATGCTTTCAAACATAACAGTCCATATCGTGATCATATCATATCATATGTCATAACAATCATATAATAATCTTGAGCATGTTGTCTAACACATTATATCATAACATAACATATCATAAGGCATATTGGTTCATCAAATAAAGCATAGAAATCGCATCTCATAACATTTACATATTATTTCACAGCAGTCTACCTACACGACTTATGACACGTGCGAAGCCATGGGCATGTGTCATCGTACAAAACACATTTATAACCAACGACAGTAGGACCATTTACTTAGTTGGCCTTAGCCGGCATTCTCCTTGATTCGACTACGTTAGCTCTCGTTCCTTAAAAGTGCTCCAAACTATCGCCCATTGTCGTTTCTTGTTGGGTCGTTCATTGCTTTTCGTTAGTAATTCACTATTCTAATATAAATTCAACTTAAATTTGCGAAATAAGGCAATATAACAACCTCAATTACTTTATTTAGGGCCAAAACCAAGTTCGGGAGGGTCAGAATGGAAAACAATTAGGTTGAAATTTGTTTACCGAGCCGAGGTGATTCCAGTTGGTGAAGTTGAGGGCTACTGACTGCAAGTGGTGACACGTGGCGCAATACGAGGCCAACGAGTGTGCAGGCGGCTTTGGGTCGAGGTGCGGGTCGAGCACGAGTGTACGGGCCGCGGATTGCGGGTCACAAGTCGCGATTGCAACAGACGTGATGTTGGGGCGAAGCGTGATGTTGAGTCTTTTTTAAATTAGTTTTTTCTCGATTCAAGATAATTTGAAAGGACTTCATTATTGGAGTGTTAAAATTTCTTATATTTACGATAAGATCTTACTAACGCGATATAATGACATCTACTTCGGTTACAAAAGTTTGGGTTTTTGCTACTCATTCTCTTCGGAACGCTCCCCAAATTTTGGAAGTAGAGTTATTCCTTTTTGCAGAAGAAGAATGTGTTGACAGCTTGATGATGCATCATAGTAGGTTTCTCCATATACCTACTCACCATTCTGACAACGTATGAAAGATTTTAATGATTGAGTCAAGTACCTTAGGTTTCTGATGATGCGCCTATGCTCGATGGGATTCACCAAGATTCTTTCAACGTCTTTTTCGAGTTGTAACTTTGTTTCTATGGGATACTTAGTTGGGTTGTACTCCGTCATCTTAAGTTGCTGCAATAGCTTATTAGCATAGGTCGACTACCTTAGTATGACGCAATCTTTCTCTGATCCACCACAATACCGAGGTAGTACGTGAGTAACTCAAGATCAATCATCTCAAACTCTTTCATCATTTGTTGTGTGAATCCTTTGATGTCTTCCACACTTGTATCGGTGACGATCAAGTTGTCAATGTAGATGCTAACGATGAATGCTTCAACTCCATGATTTCTTGTATATAATGCTTGCTCTTGCGAGTATTTTATCCAGTTTTAAGTTCAAGGATACATGTACTCGAATTACCTCAAAAGTAGTCTCAATGAGAAGGTCTAGAGACTCGTCCAACAAGGAGGTTGGACCATATTAGCAAGTGTCATGGATGCAAGAGGAAAAGAAAAGACTTTAGACATGGTACCTATAGTACATGAATTTTTAGATGTCTTTCTGGAAGACCTACCAGGAATACCTCCTTCCCGAGCTGTAGATTTTGCTATAGAACTCAAGCTAGGAACCGAACCTATCTCTAAAGCTCCTATCGCATGGCATCAGCAAAGTTGAAAGAATTTAAGGTGTAATTACAAGATCTACTGGATAAATGTTTAATCCACCCTAGCGTATTTTCTTGGGGTGCGCTAGTGTTATTTGTTAAGATGAGATAGCTCGATGCATCTGTGCATCGATTAAAGAGAACTGAATAAGAGAACAGTAAAGAATAAATGCACTCCCTTGTATAGAAGACTTGTTTGACCAACTCAAGGAATCGACAATATTTTTCAAGATCGATCTTCAGTCAGGGTATCACCAAATTAAGATCAAAGAAGGGGATGTGCCGAAGACAACATCCGGAATGAGGTTCGGCCACTATGAGTTTGTAGTGATGTCGTTTGGCCTCACCAATACCCCAACGGAATTCATGGAGTTAATGAACCGGGTATTCAAGGAATGTCTCGACACGTTAGTTATTGTGTTCATAGACGACATCCTAGTGTACTCAAAGATGGATCAAGAACACCAGGAACACCTTCGAAAAGTCTTAACCATCTTGAGATAGAACAAGTTGTACGCCAAGTTCTCCAAGTGCAAATTTTTTGCTACGATAAATCCCATTCCTGGGACATGCGGTATCGAAGGATGGAATCTCAATAGACCCCACCAAGATCGAAGCTATCACAAAGTGGGAATCCCTGACCACAGTTACGGAGGTGCGAAGTTTTCTAGGGTTAGCAGCGTACTATCGAAGATTTGTGCAAGACTTCACTCGAATAGCCTCACCCCTCACACAATTAACCAGGAAAGGCGTGCCATATGGAATGAGAATGACACATGTGAGACAAGTTTTCAAGACCTAAACAGAGATTAGTGTCAGCCCCAGTACTTAAAGTATCAGAAAGTTCAGTGGCGTGTGTAATATATAGTGATGCCTCTAATATGGGACTAGAATGTGTTTCGATGCAACACGATAAAGTTGTTGCGTATGCGTCCCATCAATTGAAGGACTATGAGAAGAACTATCCTACACATGACTAAGAGTTGGCCGCGGTAGTGTTCACACTCAAAATTTGACGATACTATTTGTATGGAGAAAAGACTCAAATTTATACCACCACAAGAGTTTAAAATATTTCTTCACCCAAAATGAACTTTAACATGACACAACAAAGGTGGTTAAAATTGGTGAAGATTACAACCTAAACAATTGTTGGACATACCTGCATCCAATTTCTTAGATAAACTAAGATTTGTAATGACCCTAAATTTATACTTACTTAAAGTCGCTACCATCATCATTATTTATGCTCATATGTGGAATTAAACATTTAAAATCTCATCATAAAACATAAATTTCATCTTAAGAACACGGTCATGGATTTACGTGTTCGAAAATATCTTTTATATGACACAACAAAAAACTATATAAAATAATATGATTAAAAATTAAAAAGACCTTATTCTAACCTAAGTCTAAGAAAACAAGTACAGCTACCCTATGCATGTTTCATGGTCTCGAATTGCAATGTCGTTGTCTACCCGTATAGGAACGTCTTGCCTTCATCTAAAAAAAGAAGTAGCACATGACTTGAGTATTTTAAGTAAGCGGCCCTATTATTGAGGTCAAGGAATGCAAACACATGCAACTCATGATTTAGGGACCTATCATTTAAAAATCATTATGGGGTGGCCTCCATCTCAGGGAAAAAAAAAATTAGATGTATAATACTTCCCTACACACGCCCCACACATGCGAATGTGGATCCCCAGACAGTTCGCACCCCCCTAAGCCTATCATAGTCGAGCTTGTTGTCCGTAGCGACACCTAAAGATCAGCAGGCCCTTGAATGTCATGCGAGACATGATGATGATCATCATCATTATAGTGTATGCGTCCGTACTCATCATCATAAATGAGAAAGTATCTTGATGTATATGTAGACAAAAAATGCATGAGATCCCTATAGTTTTCATCATTAAATCATTTTCGTGACAACCCTATACACTGTTCATATATTACTCTAAGCAACACGTAGGTGTTGGTCTTCATACACTCATCATCATTAACTTCAATTAGGGTTGTCTTTAGAAAAATGAATCATCGTCATAATGCATCACGACATTCAATACATGCACGTCATCTTGATATGGAATAACGTCATGCTAATTCATCTCATCATCATACAATCTTACATTATCATATTATCATACATCATCATTATTATGTCGTCATCATCATATCAACATCATATACATTATCGTAATATCATACATCATCCTTATTATGCCAGATCATCATTTCATCATCAAATAACGTCATTATAATATCATACATCATTATTATTATGTCGTCATCATCATATCATCATCATGTACGTCATCATAACATCATACATCATCCTTATTATGACATCGTCATCATGTCATCATCAAATAACGTCATTATAAAATCATACATCATCATTATTATGCGTCATCATCATAACATCATACACATCCTTATTATGACATCGTCATCATGTCATCATCAAGTAACGACATTATAATGTCATACATCATCATCATTATGTCATCGTCATCATATCATCATCAAATAACTCCATCTTAGTATCATACGTCATTATTATAATTTAGCCAATACATCACAACATATAAAGTATAAATGACATGTGTTAGCATCACTAGGCACATGTTGTCATACATAAGACAAGTCGTCCGACCGAGTCTATAGTAAGACCACTTACTTGCTTAGGTCATTGTCATCAATTTATCCTTCATCAAAGTTCGAGTTTTTCCTTTGTATCTAAGTCAACCCATAACATCAATTTCAAGTTCAATTAATGTATTTTAAAATTTTCAATTCTTCTTCCATGTTTATCCTATTGCCAATATTACTGGACGGCGTATATGACAAACAATGAAAAAACAATTTAATCATTTTCATATCTCCCATTTTTTTTCAATCTAATTTCCTCTAATTTTCTTTTAATTAGGTTTTCTTTTTTTTTTTTTTTTTTTTTTTTTTTTTTTTTTTTTTTTTTTTTTTTTGGTTTTAAATTTTTTTAAATACTATTCAATGATAATTAAAATCTAAATAATTGAAACGTATAAAAGAATAGGGAGATCTAAGTTACCAATAATCTATTTATGATAACTAGAAATAAAATAAAAGAAAAGGAAGATCTAACTTACATCTCCTAAGTAAATTTATTTCTTTCTTGGCAAGGATCTTGACATCTCTACTGAGTGAAATCTAAGAGAGATATTTGGAAAAAGGAGTTGGTTGAGATAGGTAGAGATGGAACAGTTGCCATTTGTTTATTTATTATACTGTTGTTACAAGATTGATCCAAATGCTCAATTTTTGGGAACCAGGAGCAACCATATCAATCTTCTCAGCAACCAAAAGAATCAAATCAAACCAAAATGACCAACCATCGTTGGTTTCACATGATTTTGTCTTGCGCCTCAATTGGCACCATGTTTTGCTTCAATAACTCAAAGTGGCCACCAAACTAGGCTAGCATGCATCCATTGAATGAGCGAACGAGTACGGCCTATGCAGTTTGGAATATGCAAAACAGCCTTCACCCGTTCACCCAAGAATCTCCTTTTAGCTACCAATATCACCACGCAAAAACATTGAGCAATAGAGAGTAAAAGTACTTTTAATCATAATCTATGGTACTTGTCAATAAACGAACAAGAACGAGAAGAAAGAGACCGATACCGATAGGGAAAGGACCGAAGTCTATTGAGCTTGTGAAAGAATAGTGATACTCGAGTTCGAAGTGAAATTTACCTAGCAAAAAAAACAACTTCCTCATTGGACATTTTTCTAACGCTCCACTGTCTATCTCAAGCCTAGAACTAAGGAAAATGAAGATTAACTAACAACTTGAGTCAAATCTGGAAGGATCAAACAGACCCTTATTCTGTACAATGCTCAAAAAATGTACAAAAATAATTACAAATACTACCAGATTTTGTATGCCTATGGTGAGTTCTACATGACCAACTCAACAGTAGAGTGTAGAGAAGTAATTGAATGGGCGTATAAATATGGCAACCTCCACTTACCTGGTTAGCAGAAGAGCCAGCTTAGCCAAGGAATGCGGGCATCTCAAATGTTGGAACTAGCAAGACATCGCAGCAGCTGGCGCGCCACTCATAGAACATCCTGGATTCTCCCAGAAATTCATAAATAACGAATTATAGTCTGGCCCTGATGCCAGTTTGGTTTGCACAGAGACAAGAACAGTCTGGTTTATCAACTTCTCTATGAATCACCCTCTTTTCACGATTAATCATTAGCTTAATGAGAGGTAACTTCTGTGAGACTTGACGCCATATTTCGTTCACTGTGCCATTTGAGTCTGTGTACTCGAAGTATCTCTTTACCTGAGTAACATACATCAAGTACAAAAAACTTTATTCATATGTTAGGAATCACGAATCTTCACAATAGTATGATATTGTCTACTTTAAGCATAAGCTCTCATGATTTTGCATTGGGCTTTCCCAGGGAGCCTCGTACGAATGCATGATCATTCCCTAAATTAGCCAACGTGGCAATCCTCACAATCCTCCCTCCCCTCGAACAAAGTACACTATAGAGCCTCTCCAGAGGCCTATAGAGCCCTCGAACAACCTCCCCTTAAGCGAGACTCGACTCCTTCTCTGGAGTCCTCAAACAAAGTACACCCTTTGTTCGACACTTGAGTCACTTTTGACTAAACTTTCGAAGCTCACAACTTCTTTGTTCGACATTTGAGGATTTTATTGACATGACTCTAATATTATGTTAGGAATCACATGTCTCTACAATGGTATGATATTGTCCAATTTGATCATAAGCTCTCATGGTTTTGCTTTGGGCTTCTCCAAAAGACCTCATATCAATGGAGATGTATTCCTCACTTATAAACCCATGATCATTCCCCAAATTAGGCAATGTAAGACTCCCTCCCAACAATCCTCAACATTACTTAACTATTTACTCGAACTAACAAATTCATTCGAACTTCTTCAGAGTGCTTAGATTAAAAAGAAAAGTTTATAAAACTTTATAATGAATTGAACCACAAAAGTTCATAAAAAGAAAAGGATTATTCACAATAATACTAACCTCTTTCATTTCTCTCTGATAGTCCAGAATCCTCTGTTTAGATATTTTCCTCAGCTTTGAAACTAAAAATCCAGGTTTCACTGCAGAAACCGAATCGAAAAACACCGCAATCTTGGAGTAATCTATAACATCTTCAAAAGGCAACTCAATTCTATCACTGACAATCACTGGTACACACAAGCTTACTACAGAGTCAAAGAGTCGACAAGCAGAGGGAGTGTCACCAGCAGGATTCAAGCAGAACTTAGATGTATGCATACCATGTGTAGCAGCACGCCTATTCTCTCTTGATTGTGTTCCATGTTTGATTATGACATTCCGTTCTTTCTCAAGTATATTGAAAAGCATATCACGAATTTTTCCTCCCTACACACACAATAGAATCACCAGCAACAAAATTCAGCTTGATCTCAACTTTTGCTCTTCTTTTAACGCTAAATTATTCACAGTAAATTGCAAAGACGTTTTGAAAGGGAATTCCAAAGAGAGGATTGCAACTATAATATCTAAAAACAACCATTTCTACATCAATACAATAACCATTATTAATTTCTAGGCATTTCATAAATTTACCTCTTTACGGTATCGATTGCCCATGAAGAACAGCAAAGTCTTGCGATTCTCAATTCCAATATCACCATTATATGTACTGATCCTATGGGAGTATGGTATGATCACGTCCTTCACTAGTGAAGCTTGGTCTGATCTCAACCGGCCGAAATCCGAAATGAGTAATATGCTGCTTTTAACCGTATCAATCACCTTGTACAATGCATTTGGGTCCTGCGCTATAATGACATGATCCCGCCCATTGTTCCGCTTCCAGTACTCCTGCTTCTCCAACCACTCCATCAAAGCCTTCTGCGTCTCCTCGTCACTGTAGGCAAGCTTCCGCTGCTGCTGATTCGACCCTGCCGCAGGTCGAATAGGGTTGACGATCAAGCTTAAGGACGAGAAGAACGGAACATAGAACAAATCCGCTTCCTCAGGATCCATCACCCTAACCACAGCAGACTCAACACGCTCCGACTCCGGTCGAAGCAGATCCGAGAACAAAAACCATTCCGCCATGTGCTGATGGCCTGGATACTTGAGCTCCGTGATTTTACCAATGGTCTTTCCTCCGCGCGCTATGCCGTGGTGCTCAATTACACCAAACGTAAACCTGGTCGGCACATCGTAGTGATAAATCTTCACAGGAAAAACCGATTTCCCTGAAGTATTGGGGAAATCAATTTCTTGAGAATCAAGCTCATCCGAAACCATGACGGAATTGGCAATGTCGAAGGGGAAGGAGCGGTCGAGTTTCAGAGTGGCGGTGGAGCTGATTAAAGTGTTGATGATGGCGTATAGGGCGAGAATAAAGCAGAGAGAAGCTAGGGTTTGCTTGAGAAGAGAATACTTTCGCGCCATTGTCGGAGAAAACAGAGCTGGGATTGAGAATTTGCAGAACAGCAGGGAAGGAGGAAACCGAGGAAGACGATACCTGGTTTTAATGGCGCGCGTGGAAAGCGCATTGAAAAGTCTCCGTGTGGGAAGGGAAACAATTAAGGAGTTCGTGATTCTTTCAGCTCCCTTAAAACGACGCCGTTTCGAAGTACCATATGTGAGAGAATATTTTGGTATTAATTCTTTTTGTTCAATTTGACGTCTCTATTGGAACCGTGATTGTATAGCACTTGTTCTATTACTCTAATCTAGTGAATCAATCAGCCACGTGAAAATCAAATTTTGTGATCAATCTAAATGTAAGGAGGAATCTCGAGTCACATTTTGAACATAAAATGTGAGAGAAAAAATAAGTTGAATACAGTTTGAAAAACAACACGGTAGACAAGAGAAATTGTATTGAAAAACATATAGACAAGAAAAATTACACTTTGTTAGGAAGGTGTGATGATTTCTTTGTCTCTCTGTTCGTAATCTAAATATGATGTTCCCATAGACACAAAAATTATAATGTTTGGGAGTAATTTTAAAATTATTAAAATCATATTTTTCTTATATTTAAAATCACTTCCATTAATACATTTTAATTTTCTAACAATCAAATTTTAAAAGAAAAAAGAAAAGAAAAAGTAAACGGGCTTTATTTGGTATGTAATAATATGCTTTTGTTTTTATATTCCTTGAATTAAATAATTTTAAAACTGATTTTGGATTTATCAACCTTGGTAGAATTTGAAATTGTAAAATACATATTGTTTTTTTTTTTTTTTTTTTTTTTTATATTATTATAACACATGCATGGGCCACGGGTATGTGTCATCATACATCATACAATTCTTCCAACATCAACCGTAAAGTCACTTATTTGTATAGCCTTGGCTTGGAGTCCATAACTATTTTATAGCTACTTCGAGATTGTTGTTTAACGTTCAATTTAACCTATACATACGTGTATCACATTCTTATGACATATTATTAAACATAGTTTAGCTAAACATATTGATTGACTTCTAATTTTAGCTCAAAAATATTTAGTTTAGGTGGATAAGAGCCTTACTGACCTCAAATGCCCTCCCTAATATCAAAAATAGCTTTGGGAGGGGAAAAAATGTAGGAAATGGTACCATAATTGAATATGGAGCCAAATAACCCATTCCGAAGCCGTCACAGACGAGCGAGTCTAGGAGTGCACCAACGAACAAGCTGAGACGAGTCGTGGCTAAGGTAGGAGCATACATCTGACATGTGCGTGGATAGGAGAACGATGCATTGGATCGGGCAAATATTTATGGAGCATAGACACATGAAATACGTTGTGCATTGCTGAGAGGGACGATGGTAGGGTTAATCTATATGTCACAAGTTCGATCCGATCTAAGATCTCAAAAGGTCCAATGAAGCATGAGCTCAACTTGCCTTTACGCCCAAACCTCAGGCCACATTTCATCGGGGCCATCTTCAAGAACATCATGTCGCCCACCTCAAATTCAAAGCTCCTACGCCTTATATCCGCATAACTCTTATGTTTATTCTAAGCAATGCACATTCTCGCCCTGATCTTTTGCACTACCTCATTGATAACGTGATTTTTTGAATTTCCTCATCATGTCTATAAGTTGAAAAAGACTCTTTATGTCTTAAAACAAGCTTCAAGAACTTGGTACGATCGACTTAGTAATTTTCTTATCGGGAATGATTTTAAAATGGGTAAACTCGACACTACACTCATTATTAAGATTAAAGAAAACGATATGCTATTAGTGCAAATATATGTGGATGATATCATATTTGGTTCTACTAATCCTTCTTTATGTGAAAATTTTCTAAATGTATGCGTAGTGAGTTTGAAATGAGTATGATGGGAGAACTTAGTTTCTTTCTTGGACTTCAAATCAAACAACTCAAGGATGGTATCTTCATCAATCAAGAGAAATACACTAAAGATTTGCTCAAAAGGTTCAAGTTCAATGGAGGTAAGATTGCAAAAACTCCCATGAGCACATCCACTAAGTTTGACAAGGATGAAAAAGGTAAAAGTGTAGATATTAAAGCTTATCGAGGTATGATTGGATTTTACTTTACTTGACCGCTAGTAGACCCGATATTATGTTTAGTGTATGTCTTTGTGCTAGGTTTCAATCTTGTCCTAAGGAATCTCATTTACATGCGGTTAAGAGAATATTTAAATATTTGCCTGGAACTATTGATTTAGGATTGTGGTATCCTATAAAGGTTGAATTGGTAGGATATTCTAATGCAGATTTTGCCGGAAGCTTTCTTGATCGTAAAAATACTAGTGGAACTTGTCAATTTCTTGGTAATTCCTTAGTTTCTTGGTTTAGTAAAAAGCAAAATTCAGTTGCCTTATCTACTACCGAAACGGAATATATTGCGGTTGCTAGTTGTTGTGCTCAAATTCTTTGGATGAAACAAACTCTTTGTGATTTTGGATTAAAGTTTGATAGTGTACCTATATTTTGTGATAATACAAGTGCTATTAATTTAACCAAAAATTCTATTCATCGTTCTAGAACTAAACATATTGACATTAGACATCATTTTATAAGAGAACATGTGCAAAATGGACATGTTATTCTTGATTTTGTAAACTCTAATAATCAACCGGCCGATATTTTCATCAAGCCATTGAATGAAGAAATTTTTTTGCAAAAATAGGCTTGAGCTTGGTATTATTCGTTGTGATATATCTTGAATTTTATAATCTTGTTTGTAACTTTTGAATGCATGTTCTCAGGGGGAGCCATTATGTCATTCTTAAATGTATTCCTTCTCCATTGTTCTTTTTTATGATTACAAAGGGGAGAAAATTAAGAAAAATATACTCTAAGTTTGTTGTTTTATAATTTATGAATCATTTACTTGTTGTGATGTTGCATAATTTCTTGAGGCATTAATATAGGAGGAGGATATGGTCCTGAGTGAAATTCATGATAATATATTAGCATGTATTGATATTATTACATGGATGGTGTATTAACTTGGTTTTTATGAATTTTTCTTGAAATTGTTTGTCATCATAAAAAAGGGGGAGATTGATGACTTTTTGGCCTTTTTGATGATAACAAACCTACTCTTAATTATTAACTATCAGTATTTTGAATTGTCCACAGTATAAGGTCGGAAATAACGATTTCAACGACTTTTCAATTATTCAAATCGAAGCTAAAACGAAGAAATTACAGTCGAGACAACATACGAGACGTGATGATGTGACAACAAAATCAAAATATATCAAACTATGACATTTATGGTGGAATTTTTCTTATTATTATATTTTTAAATAAAATTATTTTTACAAAATATAAATTTGAATTTAATGTACATTGATTTTTATTATTACTATATTATATTATTATATTTTAAAATTTTGATAGTCATATAGTTTTTATTATTATTGTATTATTATATTTATAATAAATTTTGAATTTTTCATTTGACACATAACTTTTTATTATTATTATATTATATTAAAAAAAATTAAATAAATAAATTTATAAACTTTTCTTATTTATTTACTTTTAATATCCACCTTCCATTATTCCTAACACAATCTAATGGTCAATATCAATTCCTACCTCTGACACACTCTTCTCCTCTGTATAAACTCATCTTCCCCACATTTTAAAATACTCAACTACTTGTATCGGCTTGATCCTGCGTCGTGGAAATGATTGAGTTTGCTCTTGAACTCGTAAAAAGAGTGGTGTAGTGGTTTGACTCTGATTCGTGGAAAGAGTCGAGAAAGTTCTTTATTCAAATTCCCAAGAGGCGCTTGGTGAGTGAAGTAGATCGAGTTTGACCGAACCACTGTAAAACTACGGTGTCATTTTCTCTCACTCTTTCCTATTTAATTTCAAAATTATTATTATGATTTATTGCATGTTCTACTTGATTATTGTTTTGATTTGAATTATTTTGTTATAGTAATTATCCTCCTCTATTTATTTGTTAAAAATTCCATCATTAGAAAAATTAATCATTGTTTAACACTTTTATCGTTAAAACCCTATTCACCCCCCTCTAGGATTGCCATACCGATCCAACACCTGCTCTGTCTTAGATTATACCAGAATATCGTTTATGAACACTATGACAAAAGTCATGCATGTGGTGACGCCCCTGATCTAGGTTAGAAAATTATGGGTGTTACAAGAATAATCATCTAATATGAGCTTAGAAGCATCAAGTTGAGCCTGAAACAATAAGTGAATGAAATGTCAAGAATATGCACATATGTCTCATATGAAGTTTATGTCACGATAAATATGGGAGTATGATGTCCATCATCTCGTTGTACCATAATTTTTAATGTATGACCTCATGCATATTATGTCATATGATCATGGATTACATTTTCAACATGTTATATACGAGTGTGTACACCACAATCTATTCGTGTTCCTTTTCTTTCCGTTAGTTTTAGGCAGTGTTATATTATATTATTATATACACCATAATATTATGCGCACTCCCTTTCCTATGTGGTATACCAGCAACGTGAGTGTATGTTAATTAAAGGCTAGGTTTAGAAAATACGTAAATGAACTCGTTAGGGGTCCTTTCCGGCGACCGAGTTTTTTTTTTTTTTTTTTGACCGGTCGTTACACATGACAAAAACTCTTAGAAATAATAAAATCATATGTTTAATATATCTAAAGTTAAAATTAATCATAAATATATTTAGTAAAATAAATAAATTTCTTAATAAATGCACCGTATATAGAAATAGGAAATTACAGAAAAAGGTATAATTCTTCATCATCCTTTCCTTAAGAAACCAAATAGACTATAAAACAAACATAATCACAATCCCAACCTTCGTTAATTCAATTCACTCTAGATTCTACAGCTTTTCTCATTCAATTTACAAACATCATTTCCCCACAACACAACATTTTATTTAACAGTAAAATGTACAGAGAGATATGAATCCTATGTACCTTGGAGATTTAGCTTTCAAGGTTGGTGATTGTCTCTCCGAACCTCGGGCAACGATGGAGAGGAAGGAGCACTGGCTTTGCTCGGCAACGGAGTGTTCCTTCTTGACTGCCGTTTTGTTGCTA